ATACATCTGCTTTAGATTTAAACTCTTGCAAACGAACCCTGCTAGACAAGCGGACTTTCCAATTCCGTGGAATTTCTGCACAAGGTCTCTCTCTTTCCCTCCTCCCCCATGGAAGCGTCTGGTCTGTTTTTCTTCCAAGACAAAGTCCGTTTTGTGTATTACTGTGGTGGATAGGGGAGGGGGAGGAGGAGGAGGGAGTCTGACATGAAATATGTTGGGGGAAAGGGAGGGCTAAAGCCTGAGGAAGAGCTGTACTAAGATGAACTAGATTTGATATTACCTCAGGCAGACCCTTTTTTGTAGTGAAAAGAAGGAGCAATTGTGAACGTGGAAAATGGCACGGCAGACTTCTCATGAGTTCTGGTCTCCATCAGGACCTCTTTTAATTGCAGATGGATAGGACAGTTGGTGAATTGTGACACCTGGGAGAGAAGTTCCTGGTATTGGGACACAGAATGGTGGAATTTAGGGATCAAAGGACTCTTAAGTCATCTAGCTCACTAGCGAGCCCCAAGTCGGATGTGATGGGGCCTCTGAGGTTCGCTGGCCCCAAGCCACTAGGTAGTTTGTGGAGCAGGGTTCTGCAATATATGTCCTTTGGATCTAGCCTACAGAGCCAGGGTGCTTTGGTGGCTTTTTGCGGCAGGATGACTTCAGTGGTATATGGCTGCAGGGAGCTTTGCCTGCACCACAGTTGGGCAGTAGAGACCTTTGCCTGCACCATAGCTGGTTGGTAGAGAGCTTCCGCCAAGTGACAGAGAGCTTAATTCATGCTGTGCCTGGGCAGCAGGGAGAAGCAACAGCAGCCAGGTCCTAGAGCTAGCCTACCTTGGACCTGAGCCGGGTCATTCTAACCCACTACCAGAAAACCTTGCTGACTGTTGGGCTTGAATTGGAAAGACTTTGATTTTGTTTTTAAAAGTTTGGACTGTTTTAACTGCTGGACATCAGTTGCTGTTGTCCCTTTCCCACTGCTCCTCATTTTGCCTTGGGGCTGAAGTATGAGGGAGTTTAATTTTCTTTCAGCTTAAATTGCTTCTGTGCTGTGCTCTCGGAACAGCTGGTAAGAAGCCTCCCATTTTATTATATCACTGACACTATAGATAGCTTTTAAATGAATTGCCTCATTGCCTCATGTCAAACTAAATGACCCCACATCACTAAATGTATGACTTCTCCTTTTCAAGGTACAGGCTTCTAGGTGACATGGGAGGAGGAAAGGGGTCATATGATCCACCAACAAGCATGGTGTTTAATAAGTCTCTGGTTGTAGGGCAGAAGCCAAGACCAGGTCCTGAGAGGAGGAGGAGCCCCTTTTCTCTTGCCCCTTCCACAGGCAGGGAGCTGGATCAACTTGGGCGCAAGAAATATGTTCACCTTGCTTTTAGACACAGAAATTGCTTATATAATGGCTGTATTCAGCAGAATGTCAGAGCTGTGCTTCCCCCTCCTCAAATTACAGGCTCAGTTTCCTAATGAGACACTTCATGAAATAGAGCATCAATCTTCTTGTTCCACAGCCATGTGCTTATTGATCAATTTTTCTTTCAGCACAGTCAATGGAAAGTTTCTTATTTGTTTTCCTAAGGGAAAATCTTGTAGTTTTGGTATCCCACAGCTTTTGAATCCACCCATTTTCCTTCTTTCTTTAATCACCTGGCTCCCCAAATGCAAAGAGAACCAGCTGGGAGGTCGCATTCATGGTTTTTCCATTCTGAGCTTGTCTTGAGGCTGATTACAGGGGTAGCTACAATCACATGATGTTTCAGAGGAAAGTGATGCATAGAATAAATGTGTGTGCAATGAAGCCAAAATACAGGAGTGTCTGCTGGAACTGCTGATGGCATGAGGCAGACCATTCACTGTAGGGAGGCAGCATCTTGGAAGTTCCTCCTGCAAAACACTAGTACTGGTATAACTAAAATAATCTGTCATTCTCATGTGCTTTGAACTACAACTTTCCCCATTTGGGTTGGGTCCAGCGTTGACCAAGTGAGGGTCCTTCCATTAGCAGGAAAAATGCTAAATGCTCCTCACTAGCTGACCAGCCCTTTTACTCACCATCTCAGTAGGCCACAAGGCAGAGAAACAGGATCATTATTTTATTTATTATTTTTTTTAATGAAAGCTGAAGCTGTCATGTGATTCCAGAAGCCCAGTTCTGGGGGATCTACTACCCTAGAAGAGGGCACTGGGTTCCTTACCTCCTGGTCTGTGTAATGAGGATCATAATATCATCTTTCTTCCATTCCTTACCTGTGTAAGCTGTGGAGTGCCCAGCATAACAGGGCCTTAGTAACAGCTTGGGTCTCCAGTAACTATATGATCAAAATTAAATTTAGTAGGTGTGTTGGGAAGGAGGGGGTTAGGATAGGTAGATGGAAGGGTAGAACATATGGCAGGAGCACAGGAAAGAATAGGGAAGGGTAGTGGCCAGCAACCTTTTTTCAAGCTATGGGCCAGAACAACCTGGCTGCAGTCTGGCACAGGTCAGGTGGCTTTGGCAGTGCATCAGCAGTAGAAGGCTTTCCCTGTGTCCCCAACGAAGACAGGCAGCTGAGATTGTGCCATCACTGCTTTTCCCTGCCTCCTGCTCCTTGGCCGTGGTGTGAGCACAACTTCCAGCTGGAGCAGAGCTGCACCATGGCCAGATAGCTGGAAGCTGCCTTCACGCTGCTCCTGCTTTTCCCCACCTCTCCACCACCCAGCCTGGCCCTGGCACAGCTTCACTCTGTCTGGAAGCTGTGCTCACACTGCAGTCTTGGAGAGGAAGGAGCGGGGCGGAGGGGCGGGGAGGCAAAAGCAACAATGTGGGAATAGCTTCCTGACCCTGGTGCTCCTTCATGCGGCTCAGATCCGGCATGGGCATGGGCATGGGCACGGGCATGGACACAGACAAAGCCCTGTGGCTCTGTGGGCTGGATCCAGCCCAAAGGTTGTATGTTGTGGATCCCTGGGAAAGGGGATAGATGGTAAATAGTGTCTGCTTAGTTTCTCATCAGCAGTAACAAAAGTTTTCATTTCTTTTTTCTTTCCTATAGCATTGGATTTTAAATGGAGGATTCAACAGTTGTAAGGGAAAAGCTTTATTTTTGTGCTAACATTGGAACCCAGTTTTCATTATAACAAAAAAGGACTCTGTTTGGGGAAATGCAGCTAATTTGAGGAGATGAAATTAAATCCAGATCTCAAAAGCCTCATGGGAAGAAACCACCTAAGAACCAGTGATTCTGTGTGATGTGATTCAGCAAGTTAAATACCACAGAAAGAGCAATAGTTTCCATAATAAAGGGAGGAAAACATGGAAAAGTGGGAGGAAGGAAAGTTGAAAGTTTCTGATAATATGGTGAACTGGTTCAGTGGTACCCCAGGTTGTGGTAGAATTCCCATCACTGAGAACAACATTGAGCACATCTACATGTGCGCTTTAATGCACAGTAGCCTATTTTACTGTGAATTAAAGCATCACGTAAAAACACTTGCAATTATGCTAATGCACAGTAGAATAGGCTACTGCACATTAAGCATCACTTAAAAACTGTGCACATTCACTGCTGTGCATTAAGGCAGCTTAATGGGCATTTCTTTAGTACCTCACATTGGAGGTACTAAATTGAATGTATATTAGAAAGAGTACCTTAATGCATGTGTAGACACACCCATTGAAAACTGGGCTGCACACAACCTTAGTAAGTCCATTTGGGAGCTGTATTGCACAAGTCAAAAGAGCTGTCCTCTATACCTCTGTGATACCATCCCTACACAGCCCAATCTGGCAACCTGTGTTCATAGGTAGCCTTTCACTTGGATCCTGTGTCCACAATCTCATCTAACCTCTACATTTACCATGCTACCAGGAACAATTTCCTGAGTATGGATGGGACTGCCCCTCAATAGCTACAGAGGGTTATGTTATGGGACTCACTTTCACACTAGGAAAACTGCCTGAAATAATGATTAAAACTAGGTAATCATCATGGTGACAAGGATTAATCTTAACAACTTCTGGAAAGGAAAATCATACAAATTTGTTAGGGTAAACTTTTCAGAAGCTACTATATGACTTCATGTCTCTATGGCTTTTCTCTTGACCCCATGCTGTCACAGACAAAATAAGCTCTGCCCATTTGTTCCTTAGTGGAGCTTAGGAGCACCCGAGACCAATCATTCAGCTGTGAAAGTGGCATGTAGCAAGCCTGAGCACTACACTCAGCCCTCCTGAGAGAGAAAGATTGAGTGCAGTCCTGGAGCACACACTGGCAACGGTCTCCAAGCTGTCTTCACTGCCTCATTCCTGGTCGTGGGCACTCCTGTGCAGGAATGAGCTGATAGAGTTCAATTTGTCTGCAGCTGGTCCTGGAGTGGAAGAAGGACTATGCAGATTTTGCCTCGGGCTCCTTTATTCCATTTGGATTATTAAAACGTTTTTGAAAATATTATCTTTAGCTCTTTGATTGTGTCAAATTAACAGTCCTTCTGCTAGATGCCAGTGGCAGCAACCAGACTGGGCTCAGTCATTCTCAAAGTCCTTTTCTTAAATAAATCAAGTGTTGCCTCCAGCCTCCACTCAGAGTTGGCTCTGGGGAAATAAACACGAAACCATGTCAGGTCCCTTTTGTGACCAATTTTCCTCCTTAGAAGAAGGTATTTAAAAACAGTCATCATGGATCCACAAAGAGCATATCATGCTTGATCAATCTGATCATCTTCTATGATAAGATGAGTGGCTCTGTGGATGTGGAGAAAGCAGTGGATGTGGTGTACCTTGACTTTAGCAAGGCTTTTGATACGGTCTCCCACAACACTCTTGCAGGCAACCTAAGGAAGTATGGTAATGGACTATAAGGTGGATGTGGATAGAAAACTGGCTGGATCATTAGACTTAGAGGGTAGTAGTCGATGGTTCCATGTCTAGTTTTGGCAGCCAGTATCAAGTGGAGTGCCCCAGGGGTTTGTCCAGGGCCTAGCTTTGTTCAATATCTTCATCAATGACATGGAAAATGGCAGAGTTCAGCAAGTTTAAAGATGACACCAAACTGAGGTGAGTAGTAGATATGCTAGACCAGGTCACAAAAGCCTTGGATGCAGGTGTCACAGTGGACATAGTCTTTCTGGACTTTGGGAAGGCTTTCAACACTCTCTCTCACCCCATCCTCATTAAAATATTAGGTGACTGTGGTGTTGACATCTACACAGTCAGATAGGTCACAAATTGGATGGAGGGCCGCACCCAGAGGGTGGTGGTGGACACATCATTTTCGACCTGGAGGGATGTGGGCAGTGGGGTTCCCCAGGGCTCGGTCCTCGGGCCCACACTGTTCAATATCTTCATCAGCAACTTGGACAAGGGGATGAAAAGCACCTTGTTCAAATTCGCAGATGACACTAAGATGTGGAGAGAAGTGAGCATGCTAAAAGAGAGGGACAGGCTACAACTAGACATGGACAGGTTACAGAGATGGGCAGATGAGAATAGGATGGGTTTCAATATGGACAAGTGCAGGGTACTGCACCTGGGGAGGAAGAACCAGCAACAGACTGACGGGCTGGGGAACTCCCTTCTCGTCAGCGCAGAGGCAGAAAAGGATCTTAGAGTCACTATTGATTCCAAGATGAACATGGGCCACCAATGTGGGGACGCGGTCAGGAAGGCTAACAGCACCTTGTCATGCATCCACAGATGCATCACGAGCAGGTCCAAGGAGGTGATCCTTCCCCTCTATGCAACATTGGTCAGGCTGCAGTTGGAGTATGCATCCAGTTCTGGGCGCTGCACTTCAGGAGGGATGTGGACTGCATCAAGAGGGTCCAGAGGAGGGCCACTTGCATGATCAGGGGGCAGCAGGGTAGGCCATATGAGGAGAGGCTACGGGACCTGAACCTGTTCAGCCTCCACAAAAGAAGGCTGAGAGGGGATCTGGTGGCCATCTACAAACTTGCCAAGGGGGACCAGCAGGCTATGGGAGAGACCCTGTTCCCCCAATCACTACTGGGAGTAACAAGGAACAACGGCCATAAGTTGACTGAGAGTAGATTCAGGCTAGACATCAGGAGGCACTACTTCACAGTCAGGGTGGCTAGGATCTGGAACCAACTTCCAAGGGAAGTGGTGCTCGCTCCTACCCTGGGGATCTTCAAAAAGAGGCTAGACAGTCACCTAGCCAGGGTCATTTGATGCCAGCATTCTTTCCTGCCCATAGCAGGGGGTCAGACTTGATGATTTGCTTAGGTCCCTTCTGACCCTACCAACTATGAAACTATGAAACCAGAGGGTAGGGTTAAGATTCAAAGACACCTAGACAAATTGGAGAATTGAACCCAAAGAAGTCTCATGAGGTTCAATAAGGACAAGAAGACTAGCAGTATACTGAGCTGCACTGGTAGGAGCGTTGCCAGCAGATCAAGGGAAGTGATTATTAGGGCTGTGCGAAGTTTTGGTCACTGATTTGAGTCGGAGGAGATTCAGCCCAATTTGGCAACTGAATCTCCAAATCCGAATTGAATGAAGAGACTCCCTGTCCCCCGGCTCGGTGACTGGTGCCTCCAGGGTCTGGGGGTGCACCCGGGGTCCCCCCACGGCCGATTGCTGAGCTGAGGGGGGTGTGGGGTGGTCCCCCATGTGCTCAGCAGCAGCCCCAGAAACGGACCAGCAGTACTTCCGGTCCACTTCTGGGTATGCCACTGAGTACGCAGCCCCACTCCGCCCCCACTGTTGTGGGACACTCTATCTACCCCACCATTTCAGCGTTCACAAGCCACACCTGGTACCTCAAGGTATGTAGAAAAAACATTTCAAGCTGTGTTTATGGCCAAATCGCTGATTCTCTGACTTAGAAGTGAATCTTCAGATTCAGGTACAGCTGAATCAAATCAGGACAATGATCCAAATCAGCGAATAGAATCACTGTCCTCCGAACTGGGAAGAATCTGAATTGAATACTGCACGCTTTGCACACCCCTAGTGATTATTCCCCTGTATTCAGCACTGGTGAGGCCACATCTGGACTCCGGTGTCCAGTTTTGGGCCCCCCACTACAGAAAGGATGTGGATAAGTTGGGGAGAGTCCAGTAGAGGGCAGCAAAAATAGGGGGCTGGGGCACATGACTTATGAGGAGAGACTGAGGGAATTGGGCTTATTTAGACTGCAGAAGAGAAGACTGAGGAGAGATTTAATAGCAGTCTTTAACTACCTGAAGGCTGGTTCCAAAGAGGATGGAGCTAGACTGTTCTCAGTGGTGGCAGATGACAGAACAAGGAGCAATGATCCCAAGTTGTAGCAAGGGAAGTTTAGGCTAGATATGAGAAAAAACTTTCTCCCTAGGAGGGTAGTAAAACACTGGAACAGGTTACCCAGAGAGGTTGTAGAATCTCCATCCTTGGAGTTTTTTAAGACCCAGTTTGACAAGGCCCTGGCTGGGAAGATTTAGTTGGGGATGGTCCTGGTGTGAGCAGGGGGTTAGAATAGATGACCTTCTGAGGTCCCTTCTGTGGCGGGCCAGTAGGGGGCGCTCCTGTGTTGAGCCGCCCACCTCACTGCGCCCGACCACCTTCCAGGCTCCGAGTGCCCTCCCTGGGGTGCCTCACGTCCGGCTGACCCCTTCCCTGGAGCACACCCGCTAGCCTGGGGTTCCCACTGCCACCATCCAAGGCGCTGGACCCAATTCTGGCTCTGCGCACCTTGGAAAACACAGGCCTATCGTCCAATGGACACTAGACCCAATACAGTCACTTATTAGGAAAGTCTCCCTTAGTCCACAGACCTAAGGGCCCTCCTAGGCATAATTTAAACCCACCCCTCAATAAGTCTCCACGCCGGTCACAAAGGAGAACGTTATTGATTACAGGAGGTAAGGTGAAAACGGGGTAAAAGGCAGAGCAGTATCATAGAAATATCAGAGGAATATCAGAGGAATCCCATAGAGCAAACCAATATGGCTGAGGTAGCCCTTTTGATCTCGCATCTGAGTTATTGTAAGCTAAATATCTAGTCGGACCTCAAGTAGCTTACTCACACGCATCGTCCAGAGGTGGTTGGAGTTTTCCCCTGAAGGCATGCGGTTATGAGGAGGGAGCCAGTTTCAGATTCACCTGGGTGACCGCATGGCTAATGGCTTCCCTTCTTCCTGGCCCGGGCCTTTAAATAACCTTTCTGACCTCAGCAGCCTGGTCCAATTGAAGCTGCCAGTGCTGGCCACTAGCCAACCAATTAAAAAAAGCATCACTGGCTACCTGGGCATCACTGGCTACCTGGGCTCACCAGCAGGGCTTTTCCCTCCCCCTCCCCAGGTGACCAGAGCATCCGCCTCCGAGGCACCAGGCTTTTGTCATGTAGGCAGGGAGGCAGATCCCCCGCCCTGAGGAATTCAACACCAGCCTCTCACGGTGGCAGAGACAGACTTCTGGAGAGGGACACAGACGGTGGCCTTTCTGCCACACCTTCCAACCCTAATTTTCTGTGATTCTATGTTCTGTGATTCCTTCTTGACATCACTCCATCTTTTGGGAACAAAGAGTAAAAGTCCATCTGATGAAAAAACACACAAAAATATGAGACCTTAGCATATATATATTTGTATGTAAGAAATTAAATACCCAATCAAATCTTCAGGAGTTTTGTCAGCACTCTAGTACCAGATAATAAAAGTTCATGTAACAGAGCTCTAGTTTGTTTCACCAAACCCCATTCGCAGGACAAGTCAGCATTAGTGGTTGACAAGAAGTGGCTCTCCTCCACTGGTTTGTTCTAGTCCAAATAGAAGTATTTCACTATGTCCTACTCGAGTTTCAGCCTGTTTCAGTAAAGTGATTTAATCTAGGTTTTCACTGGCCAGATACACCAGGGTGCTATGAAGTCAGACCAGCACTGCTGCTACTGACGGTGATATATATAAATAGAGGCAGCTGGGGGTGGCATGCTCAAGAGTGCTGGGGAGATGGTTTAGACATATCCTAAGTGGAACTCATATTTGGGATATATGAAATACTGAATAGTTCAAAGGTCATCTGGTGTGATTTAGCCAGAGATGACCCTAGCTGTGGACAGATATGCATTGGTAGTGCTCCAAATGCATCAGCGCTTTGAAGCATTTTCAAAACTTTAGCAGTACCAGCTGCAGGAGATGTTCAGAAAAAGCTCCTGGCTGGAGTGCTTCTGGCCTGTGAGTGAGTCTGGTTCCAATCATGGGCTCACTAATAGCCTGGTCCCAGCTGGTTAGCTTTAGTCAGTTAACCCAGGACTGGGATGGGTCTGTGAGTGACCCAGGTCCCAGTGGGAGTGAGCAGGTGGGAAAGTAGGCAGGCTGTGCAACCTCAGTACTGTACTTCTTGTCCACCCTTCTCTCCTTCCCTCCATCCTTGGAGGTTGGGAGAGAGTGCAGAGTAAAGCACCGTGGAGTGGCTGGGGGGCTACAAGACCTCTTGTAGTGCTCTGGTGTGTACATAACATATGGTGCTACAAAATGTAGTGCTACAGAGAAGTACCCGTTTCATCCAGGAACATATCTGTAATGTTTGCTCCATTTTTGTACTGCTTCTGTCATGCTACTAGCATTATAGGGGATGTTCACATCTGTCCCCTCAACTTTTGTAACACTGTAGTTTGTAGTGCTATAAATGTAACCTCTGTCCACACCCAGCCTGTCCTCTTGAACAGGGATTGAATTAAAAGACCTCTTGAGATTCTTTCCAGTTTATTTTTCTGTGATTAAATTTCTTTTGATTCTATAAGATGGTAAATCAAGATAAGTTTCATTTAAACTTAAAGCCAACAAATTTAAAATTGATAGGCAAGGGTGTGGTTGATATACAGAACTCACTATCCAAAGATAGTACTGAAACTAGTAGCTTAGCATTAGAGCTTAGATTAGAGGATTTCTTAAGGTGATATCTTTTACCACCAAATTGCCTGAAAAGAATGATGGGGGTGGGGAAGTGGGCAGGCGGGGGTGGAGCCCTGTGTCCGGCCCCATGCCCTCCCACCACTCTGTGTCCGGCCTCGCTCCCCACTCCTGCTGCCACTCTGTGTCAGGCTCCCCTCCCCC